GTCAGAGGGTCTGCAGATGAGTGCTGTGCAAAGTGTACAGGGCAAACAGCAATGAGACGTCCTGGAGAGAGCCCATTACAGCGGCCAGTCTCACTTTCATAGCGAGGGAGGAGCCTGGAAATACAGGCCAACAGCAGTGGGCACATTTGCATTCGCTCTCCTATAAATATTTGGTCATCTGCCAGAGGAAGGGCCACCATGTCAATATTTTTCAGCAATGATTGTTTTGGTAGCTGAATTGGGGCTCTGGGCTCAAAAACATTTGTAAGTTTGTCTGTGAGGGATGAGATTCATATCTCTTCATTCAGGCTTCTATCACCTTTACTCTTTACTATCTATCACCTTTACTTTCTGTATGTTAGGACATTGTTTCTACTGAAATGTAGTCTTTTGATATAAACACTGGTCAAACACACTCTTTAAAAAAAGTAATACAAAAGGTTTTTGAGGGATGCCATGGAAGAACCACTTTGGCTTTCCTAAAGAACCATGTTAGTAAATGAGATGTGTGTGAGTGTAATGAAATTTTCAGAGGTGTAAAGAAAGACAAAATCTAAAAGTTTAACCTTTAAGAATGTTCTTCACACTCATACAACTAATTTACAAAAATGGTTTTCCAAAAAACTATTCACGAAAAGGCTCTTCAGAGAACCACTTTTAGGTCCTTACATTTTTGTAAATGAGAGTGAAAATATGAGGAACCTCCACATAATTTAAATGTTCTACACCTATTAAAGAAATACTGTAATCTTAAGTCCAGGATAAGCACACTTTAAAAACTTTTATTTATAAGAGAGTATTTAGTCTAATTCAATTAGAATAGTTTATTTAACAAATTGAAACCTATTAATTATTACTTATGATCATAATGAATATCTATTCTGTTCAATGTTCCTTCAAACATTGTGGTCAGCACAAATAGTTGATGATGACATGAAATTGCAGTAGGTTTTTCCAAAACCAAAAATCAGAGTCAGGCAATTAAACAGCCAAAAAGCTGCTCTATGTTCCCAAGAGCTGTACTATAAAAAGATTTCACTGATTGCAGAGTGAAAAGCACTGGGATTATCTGAATGTTTTATTGTACTGGAATTATCTAAATGTTTGATTGCAAACAGGAAGGGAACAGAAGAGCTTGCTTGGTTTTCTTAAACCCTCAGTGTGGGCACTAAGGCTCAGTGTTTTGATTTGGAGGAGCCCGGGCCTGCTGCCCTGCGATCTGGAACCCCAGCAGGTCAGAGAGAAGCTCCATCACTCTGCGGGCTCCCAGGGGGGCATGGAGTCAGCGGGGCTGAGCAAAGGCTCACCAGGCTTCCGCCAGCGTCACTGATAACACCTCTGTCCCCTCCGCTCCCTTTGGCCCCATGTTTACTTATCTCAGGAGTGCTGCCCAGCAAGACCCATCAGACAGGTCTCAGAGGGACAGCAGGGTGATCTGAGACTGGCCTCACACTTCATTGTAAATGGCATTTCCCTCATTACAGTCAGATGATAACCAGAGCACTTAATGAGCTTTAATCCAGAAATGCCCAATGAGCATCACATTACCATGACTTTGATTGATGCTTTCTTCAGAGCTCATTTGAAATGCATTGATGACCCAAGGCAACCTAGAGGGCAAAGATTTGTCATCTGCATTTCATTCTTTTGGAAAGTACAAAATATACAATCCTCTAGTTATTTGATCCAGTCTTGTGCCCATTTTAAATGCTTTTCAACTCTATATAATGTTAACTCTTACGGTCTCCATACAAACTGAAAGAGCACATTTGCATTACAACGCAAATCACTACCATTAAAACACGCTGAGCTGCAGTATGTCACATAATAGCCCAGCAGAACATGGCATTTCAAAAGAAAGTGGTGGTTAGACATGGTGTAAGTGCCTTTCACTGGGCCTGTTTAATATGTGTATTATCTTTCAAAGTTGTGTTTGGATAATAAATCAGAGGGTTGTTTTGAAAAGCAAATGCAAACACACACCAGCCACCATTAGGGGGAAAACAATCTATTATTTACACAGGGTCTATGACGTCTGCTACAGGCTAGTCACAGGGCCAATGCCAGTTTATCGCAGCGAATCTTCTGCATTCTTATATTTCAGCTTCTTATAAAAGTGCACAGATGATGGACTGGACTATACAAGCCCTGCTCTGTTTATTAGACATGGCTGGGGGTGTTTGACACAGAGTATGTGAGAGCCAGGCAGTATAATAAAACCATTCAAATTTGCAATTAAAGAGTTTATTAATATCAGTCTCCTCCGCTGTAGGGACTGTGGGAGATTTGTGCTCTTTCATCTTGTGGAATGAAAAATTTTATTCCCAAATGCTGTAAATCCATTTGTAACAATTTGGGATAGAATGTGTTGTTGAAAAGAATAACAGCTGACATAATGTAAAACACATTTTTATTTCTCTAATAAAGGTGGTATTAATCATAACGCAGCATTGATTTTTCTTGAATTTTAAAGCCTACTTTTACCATATAATATAATACAATACACTCTTTATTGTCAGATTTCTTTGAAGCTTGTCTTGCATCACATCGATGATAGTTATGTAAACACCCACATCCACAAGAGACAAGGAAGAGAAGAAGAAAAATCTTTCACAATCATATAGCACTCATTACAACACCACATTACACTTGACACCATCTTCAAATTTCCCAGTCCTCCCCAATTTCCCTAGTACTGCACAGTAAGTGTATATGTTACTACTTATGTATTCATCTAAAAGGTCTGCTTTTTTGATGTGTCCCAGCTGACTGAGGAATAAAAGATTTGACTTCTTGACTTCATGGCTTAAAAATGTTTGTTTGAAGGCAACATTTGTGTATTCACCAAAGACCACACATTGGATCAGACAAAGCTATCAAACACAAGCTAATCTTTACTTATTTCTATACATGCTCTTGCAAAACTACTCTCCAATAACTGATGACCTATAATCTTGGAACAAATTATCACCGGTTTAAACAGTACTTCATCACACTCTGGATTATTGTAGTGTAAATCATATATCATGAACCATATATATACACAAAAAATATACAAAATAGCTTACAGAAATCATAAACTGCAAATAATTACAACTGAGTCTTTGCTACTTACTGTATGATGCACCCTGCAAAAACTGCTGGTGTGATAATACACAGCTCTCTTTGTCTGGGTCAGCATACGGCCAGTCTTCTTTGACTGACAGTATTCTACAGGAGCTAGTGATCTGCGAGGCTTCAGAACTAATGTACAGACAAGAGAATGTCTGTACTGTTAAACATCAGAACCAAGTCATCACACATGGGCTTCTTCTCTGAATCTGTCACATTATTTCAATAACAGGAATCCACTCCTGGTCTTCCCCCCATATCGCCATTGCCTCCCCTGCTCTAGCCTTCACTCTCCAGCTCATTCTTGTTATCCGGGGCCAACTGGGAATGTGCCTGCAGAATCTCAGGTCGGGTGTGAACTCTCCCACTGGTGCCACCTTGTAAAACGACATCTGCATTCAGCGGTGGGCTTTTGAAGGGAGGAAAGCCGAGAGCTCAGGGACTTTAAAGCCAATGAAGTCTGTGTAAACCTTCAGGAAATACAAACCAAGAAGAAGCTAAAATGGATGTTAAGAAACAGCTTTTCTTTAGTCTTAAAACAGCTGATCAAAGTGGAAACTCTGACAGTGATACCAAGGTACATAAAATCCATGCTGTAATCAAGTCTCCCAGCCCACACTCTTAAAAATAAAGGGTTCTTTGGAGTAATACCATGAAAGAACTTTTGGTTCACTAACGAACCTATCTATGGATGGTTCTTAGGATGATGTGTGAGGTTGGAGAACAATTTTAAAGTTAGGTTCAACACCACAGAAAAGACCTTCCTAGAAATGTACATCAAAGTCAAGAACCATTTAAGAATCTGTATTTCAAAGACTGCACTGGGCTTTTATACTTTGGTTTGATTGGCTGTAAAGCAGTCTGCAGCATAACCAACTTTAACAACCATTAAATGCATGCAAATGCTCTTCAGAACTTCAGTGGGAAGGGTGAGCATGGGCCAGTGAGCAGACAGCTCATCTGTGTGAAGAGAAAGCTCTGATCTGGGCAACACGCTTTCCTTTCCCGTCCTCATCTCTCCATCCCAGCTTAATTGTCAGAGAAAGGGTTTGGCACACTAGAAGTCCCACTCCTGGAAACTGAACTCACATCTGCGTCCTGTTATACATCCTAATCCCCCTCCCCTCGCCTCCCCACTCATCACCACTCTGCTCAGATTAAACTGGAGGGCTTAATGGAAAGTTCTAGCCCAATAAAAAACTCATTTACTTTTTTCTTTTTAAGGGAAATCTTTTTTTAGGGTTTTTTGTGTTCTAGCACATTTGTCCAAAAACCCATTTGTTCAGTTTACCTCAGGACAAAGCTATATTCCTTACTTTTTACCCATGTGCATGACTTTGCGGGCAGAAAATACTGGATTACTTAAAACTTGTAGGATGGGTAAACTACAGTCATAAAAATAAAGGTTCCTTGAAGGTTCTTTGGTTTGGTTGTATACTTATAGGAAAAACTTTCCAGCAGTATAGAACCTTTACACTGTATGGGGGTCAAAATGTTCTTCACACTCACACATCTCATTTACTAAGCTTGTTTTTTACAACAACCATCCACTGAATGCTTATTTGGGAGCTAAAAGTGGTTCTGTTATGGCACAGATCCTTTTTGGGCACCTTTTTATTAAATAGTGCAAGAGTGAACACGTGCAGCACTCATCCTTCCTGCTTCCTTCTTTAATCGAGAATAATAACAAAATCAGATGGGTAAAAATCAGGGGTTGGAGGATGTCCCCTCTATTTGGGGACGTCTAAAATCCCACAAAATGTCCCTTCATGTATTTTGACACGGACCATGACAGTTTTTTAATGGAGTGTGTTTGTAATGGCAGGAGCGCCTAGATCACGGAGGGAACAGCCCCCTTTTGTCCAAGTGGTCCCGGATTTAAGGGCAGCGCGCACAGCGCCTCCACAGTGCGCTCTGCGGATCTCGACACACACACGCTCTCACACACGCGCTACAGCATGGAGCTGAAAGCTGTTCTAGTGGCAACGCTCATCGCGGTGGCCATCTACGGGACGATTTCGCACGGTGAGCTGTTCTTCGCTGCTTCTTTACGGGACTGAGATGAACGTGGGATACTTGAAAATATGTGATTTTGTGTGCAAATTCCTCGCGCTGTGTACAGATTCAGCGATGCTTTCTTCTAATTCTGATAGGAGTGCAGGAGCAACAGTTGGAGAGATTCACAGAGGCGATGGGTTTGGGTTGCATTAGGTGGATTACATCATTATTTTAATGCAAAGTGGCATTTGGTTACACTGCATAGGCTGCTCCTGTTAATGCAAGCTAGCATATGCTGTATAATCATTGCATCTGGCGATTGCATAGGCTTAATCATTATTTTCATGCAGGCTGACTTACATGTTAACCTCAAATTGCCATTTATACAAGCCTGATGTGCGTTTTGCATTTATGGCCCTCATTTGACCCTGATAATACAATTTTTAACCATTTGCCTACTCTTTTTTGGATTTGATTCAACGGAGTTCTGCTTTCAACGCACTTTTTATGAACGGTCTCTGTGCCGTGTTTGTCCGTCAGAAACGTGCGCTCAGCAGAGCGGCATGCCGCTGCTTAATGTGTGTATTTGTCACTTGCTTTGTTTCCTTTTAATTAGCCACAAATTAGGAGGTAAAACCAAAAGAGCACAGGCAGCGCCAAGCTGCACTTCAATGGGCCAAAGCGCGGGGAGGGGGGCTGTATAGACCCCTCTTTACCATAACAATAGAGATAGACTACCTGGCATGTTCTAAACTCCTCTAACATGGAGCTCGCAGGTACTTCTCACCCTCGGGGCTCTGTGAGTGGGCGATGTCCGCTTAGGCTGCGTGCCGAAAGCACAACTGCTCATGGATGAAATGTTGGGGGTCCTGCGCGGGGACGCCTTCGCGTTTCAAACAGGCTGAATCCCAAATGCCTTACTATTTGACTTTAAGTGCACTTGGGTGCAGAAGCCTTTATTGTAATGCACTATATAGGAAGCATGGTGGAAACCTCCATTTGGCCAGCAGTCTGTCCACTCCATGTTCACACTCAGCCTGCAGTAATGTGGCAGCTGCAGTTAGGAAAACACAGCAGTGAGATTAATGGCTCCAATTACTGCTCGTGTTTGGGTTGAGCTAAAAGTTTTCAGTACTAATCAGTGTAGAAGTGCATTTATTTATTGCTTTATTTTGTCCTTTTTCTTATCCCAAGTCTTCTTTATTAGGTGCAATAGTTTGGATTTGATGGTGCTCCTAAGTTGAAAATGATTCTGTTTTCCATTTCACTGCCCAATCTACATTTGGACGCATATTCTAATTAATACAAAATACATAGACAAAGCAGTGCATATGTGGATTGCACAATAAACATGCATAAATGTCGACTGTCAAACAAGTCAAATCACGTGCAAACATGTTCATGCGCGCCAGTGATTCATTGATTAATGGTTCAGTTCTAAAATGGGTTTCTGCATGTACTCCCTTGCATGTACTGCCTGCTCTTTCTTGTGCTTTAAATTGTTTATCATGGTCTAGAATTCTGAATGAACTCTAATGATATTATTACTAAAAAAAATGTACATATAAATATGTAAGCCATTTGAACAGCTTTGCGTAATGAAATGAAAAATGAAAAATTACAAAGGTGAATCTGATCTAAAATGAGTGTTTCGTTTAACAACAGTTTGATTGAACACATCTGCTTTGGATCTCATTTAAAAGCAAAGGACAAAAGATGTCCATTTAGACAACATAATAGCATGCACAACAAGAGGGAGTCCATGCAGTAATAGGCTGCTAAGCCGCATGTCTGTAGAGCTGGGGTGTGTATAATTAGGGTCAGAACTCTGTACACTGAATTTAAAGGTATCACATGGTGCTTTTATTTTACACTGTACAAATATATCAGTCAGCTGCACATGAACTAAATTTGTGACACCAGCATAATTACTGTCTTTCGGTTGACTTTTTTGGCAGGAATCGTGTTAATGTAATGATGTAACATTTTTATCTTATATAACTAACTGTAATGCAAATTCACAGCATTATTTTTTATACTGTTACATGCTCTATCTATAATGTGGTCTTCTCTTCTTCTCATACAGCCAAGCCCATCAGTCTGGTAGAGAGGTGCTGGTGCCGCTCTACAGTCAACACAGTGCCACAGAGGAACATTCGTGAGCTAAAGTTCGTCCACACACCCAACTGCCCCTTCCAAGTCATGTGAGTATCTTCTGCAGCGTCTTTCTCACACGCTCGTCGATCCCGACGCAGCGCTACTTCTTGGGGGGTGTCTTACTGAACCCCTCTACCCATCATTTCACACCATCAATCTCCCACTGTTGAAGGAACTCTGAATAGATCCGGAACAGGCCTCCCCTGTCAGGCTTTATGCTCTCGGTCAAACTCTCACAATTAGGCACATGCAGAGGAAATGCTACAGGGGGTGGTCTTCTAGGCTTGGATGCAGTTTTGTTTCGTACAGGAACACATCATAGGGGTCCAAAACGGAGTTCTCCTTGAAGTGCTTTCTCACCTATTGTGCCTGATAAACCTTCTACACATTATAGCTTCGCCTGCTGTTGAGAGTCATACTTCGTCCCTGTTTCCACATGAGTTGAGTTTAGCGCCTCAGACAGCCAGTAATTAGCAGCATTCTTAGTGTTTTTTCTTTCAAAAATACCACAAACTATACCACAAATTAACAGGCCGTTATGTAATACGAAACCACATTTCACAAGTCTGCAACTCACCAAAACACTTAAAACCAGAGGTGCCAAAAAGAGTTCTCTGAAGCAATGCCATAGAAGAAACACTTTATTCTCTACAGAACATTTTAATAGATGCTTTTTTTTTTGAAGAAACATAAATATAAAACAACTTAAAACATGAAAAAGTTCTATACAAAACAAAGATTTAGCCTAGACCTGCACATCTAAAACATTTAGGAACCTTTGTTTTAAAGATTGTAGTGACTTAAATCATTGCAAAAAAAAACAGCTGGACATACTCACCTATGCACACAAACGCTAAGGTAGCCAACACAGTCATAGCGGAAATCCCCAGAGAACAGATCAGAAGTAGCACTCCAAACTCCCAGATCCCTGATACCCTAAAACCGTTCTGATGAGAGAAGCTGGTAACATTATATGCTAGGCTTTTTCTGTTGGCCTTCACTTGCTGTGAAGTAATTACTACCTGCTGTCCACAGGCCTGCCTCACTTAACCCCTGCTGACAAAATCAAAACAGAGAGGCAAATGCCAGGTCCTGATACACCACTATCACATTAGAGGGTATCTTTAAGTCATAGATAGCTATAAACGTACAATGCACAGCATCATTATGGTACATTAATATGGCACAGTGGTGGATAAGCATGTAAGCTAAGGCTGTTTTTTCTATGTTAACGCCTTAAATGGCCAGGATCCACCAGCAGGCTCAAAGTTTTATTACACACTTGTATAGCCTAAGAAGAGCTCAGCCAATTTTCATTGTCCCTGTAGTTACTGAATAATAAGCCTTAGTATGTAATAAGCCTGAGATTTTAAGAGTTAAGAAGTTTTAATGTTACTAAGTAAAGCAAAGTTAGTGACACCTCACAAGTCAGCCTTGGATCTCGGATCCTAATATAAACACACCTTTCGATTGAATTTAAAGAGCCCATAACCTTAATTTTTGTTGTATTTCATTTTTCCACTATTGTCCTCTTATAACGTTTATGTGGTTTTGTGTACCAGAAGAGTCCTAATTTATTTGTACACATTTTCTGTACTCCATTGAGCCATAAGACTGAACAGGCTGTTTCTGTTACTGTGCCTTTAAGGCTAATATGTGTAAATGATCTCTGTTCTGATTGGCTACCCTCATTGTGCCTCATTTAAAAAGCAATCCGGGCTGAAACACTTCTTATAACTTCAGTGTGAATAAGAGGGGCTGTAGGCTGAATGAGTGGATATACGTAAATGTGAAGATTTGTGACATTTCAAAAACAGTATGTTTTACATTTTTAGCAGTGTTTGCATACTACTCTATCAAGCTATTCCCTTTTCCCCATTTTCCATGATGTGAGTCCTTTAAACACGTGTGACCTCCTAAACAATTTTTAGATTTTGGAGCATGGGGTTAAGTGGGGTATTTAAGCACACCCTTGTAACCATGGGCAATAAAACATTGTGGTCACTGAGAAGTTGACCACAATAAATAGCTCAACAGCTTAAGCCTATACACTCCAAAATAACAGAGGTCATTTACTGAGTTAGAGATTGTAGGCTAATTGCTTTCTTGTTTAAAGTCGTGCACTAAACGTGAGCTAAAACCAACAAACCAAAGGTTTTTCTTCAGGCCTAAAATCGCCTATGCAATCTTTAACACAGGAGTAGACATAACTTTAGGGCTTACTTAATATACACATGTAGTTTAATGGGTAAGCGTTTATTTTTTTGCATATAGAAACGTAAGTGGTTAACCTCAGAGTAACCAAGAAAACTATATGGTTTCTCCTTTTGCAGCAATCTGACAAAGCATTTGGCAAATCCATAGTGCTTGCTAATGGCATGAGGGATCAGAGATCACAGTCTGACAATTTGTCAAGACCTGCAAGTGAATGAAGAAAGAGAAAAACAGTAAGAAACAATAACAGCCTCTAAGGGTGTATCACTCTATATGAAAGAGAAACTGAAGAATGAGAACTGCTTCAGTGAGCTCCAGCCAGCCTTTCACTGAGTTCCTTCATCCTTGTTTTGCTGTGTGTCATTGTGTGGTTAATGCTGACCATGGCATTTCTTTTGTGTTGCATTCAGAATTCCTTCACAATGGGTGACCAAACGTTTTAAAAAGACACATAATAATCAAGTAGGCTGTGTGAGGTGTCTGAGTGGTGTGGGTGAATATATTTTAATCAGACGTTTAACCATATTCTGGTCTATTTTTCTCACAGCGCTAAACTGAAGAACAACAAAGAAGTGTGCATCAACCCTGAGACGAAATGGCTGCAGCAGTACCTAAAGAACGCCCTTGAAAAGTAAGGAGAAATGTTCTAGACTCTACGTCTAGAATCTTTAGATTTTCTAGATCTGTAAGTCAGAGGAGAATGGTTAACTGTGAGAAACATGAAATTAAATATCTGTCTGTTTTCATATAGTCAGACTTAATGTCTCCAAACGATTGTACAGATATGCAAATGCAGCTTTTGTTCCTTTAACCTAATGATCATTGATTCATGCCTATCCATCACATTAAAACAGGGTAACTGAAGAGACAGCACTATTTTGCTTTTCCTGTTTCTCACATTTCTCTGACTGCTCAGGAAAACCCCTTGCCAATGTACTTTATAGCCATGAACCCTGGCTTCGTTCTTCAAAAGGATCTGTGAAATATGTATACCTTGGGTTGCTGAACATGATTTTAATGCTTACCAGCCTTTGCCTAGGTTTCTAATGCGAAACATGCTCTCACACTGTGGCCCTGGCTTAAAAACCTTCTAACTGATTCTGATCATAAATCAAAAATCAGTGCTGTGGTTACACTGAATCATAACAGGAAATTTACCCATTTTATATGAAATGTTGAAATGTGAAATAGCTAATCCCTATTTTCATTGTACTTGAAGGTATTTTGCACTTTTACAGTGCATAATTGCATATCTTGCTGCTCAACTGGACTGAATGTATTCTAATGTGGGATTGGATTGTGTTCCGTACACATAAGACCTATATAAGAGGCAGGAAGGTGTGAACAGTCCAGTCTGCACAACAAAACAGTCATGGTTAAAGGTGGACAATGGCTCTGCAGGCCTGAATGGCTGCTAGACACACACTGTACAATACTGCTCAGTCAGATAAAGGGGAAGCTGTACATCCGACTCCACTGAAGGAGACCAGTTACATGGCACACCTCTTAAATGCAAGACAAAGCTTGTGCAGTTTGATTTTACTGAGCTTTCCATGCAGCTACTGAATTGCAAGCCCATTCAGTAGCTGTAAGCTGTATCACTGTCAAACGTGGTAGTTTTGCTTAATTAACTACCTGTGCAGAAAAAAACCCTGCCTGTAAAAGCTAATGACATGTTTGTTGCACAGTATGGCCAGAAGCACAGTCTGGCTGTATGATCTAAGTGCTTTTCCAGTGGAGGGTTTGGCAGGCCATTAAATGGTCCTGCTTCCCCTCAAATTTCACTTAAAGATGCTGATTCAGAATTCATTCAGTAATAACAAACTCTTGTTAATTCCATTTTGGTACTCACTATCAAAAGCCAGAGCTTGGCACAAGGGAGCAGGAAACAGTAGAAACCGTGTCCAAAATGTCCATATGCAACAACTCAGCTTTAATCTATCTGTGTTCTGCTGCTTTCTGGTCTATTTTAGGGCTTTGGCTTCAGTTTCGCTCTAACTGTATATGTCTTTTGTCTCTGCAGAATGAAGAAGGCCAAACAACAAATCAACTAAGGAGCCAGCTGGATGGCAAGCCAGTTTGTCAGCCCACCACCACAGATATGTACCATATACTCCTCTGGCATGCTTGCTGACCCAGCACTTAACCTGCCAAACTTGCTTCCTTGTCCATGAATCGGCACACCAGTCCGTCCCCATCGTCTCTGCCACTGCTATAGGCACCTCCTGTGTTAGCGCAATGTGCAATTATATATGTATGAGTGTGGTTTTTATACGTATGATATGTATATATAATGTTTTATATCAATTTTAAACAGTAAAGAGATATTTTTGGAGTCGTGTTTGCTCCTTGCCTGTCTGTTACAGTGAGTTAGGTAGCACTGAATGAAGTATTTGGTGATTTGGGAGCAAACTCATAAGGTTTTTCACATTACATCCTAGAACAGGAAGGGAAATCTGTGAACGATGTCCATTGGTGCAGATCTGAGCCCAAATAACAGCATATCTGTTAGGAGGACAAGTGTGAAGGCAATTGGTTTTCTCCCCACCCCATTTCATAATCATATTTAAATAATCCATATCTTAAAATTTTGTAACACTGCATATTGCATGTGAAAGTAATATTATATGTATTCGGTAAGAGAAAAGTTTCTCGTGTTTTTGTTCTCTGATCAACAGGGTGTAATTTTTAAACAAACGTAAACCTAGAGACCTTGGACCTTACATGACCCTAACTACTCCGAATTCCTTCAGAGTGTGTAATTGGGTTTACTGGAAGTAGGCTGCGAGGGAAAAGAGAAGGGAATGTTTTTTTTTTATTTCTATCATTCTGTAAGCAAAGAAACATCTGGATCTGTAAAACTGCTAATTGAGCAGCCGGTGTGTGCAGAGCAATTGTGATGGGGAATCACAGCACATGAAACGTTAAATAAAACCTACAACAGATTTGCCCACATGGTACCAAGCACAGCTAATTTAAGTTAGTTTACAATAAGTTTACAAAATACAGTAAACATAAAACAACAGAACAAAGAAATGAAAAAAGCCAACTAACTAATTATCTTAATATTGATATCATTAGCGGTAAAAACGAATAACACATAGACCTACTATTAAGAGTAGTTTGAAAGGTAGAAATTTACAATTATTGGATTAAAATCTGTACTACCTGTCATTAGTAGCAGAACAATGCACTTTATTTATTGCGTTCTGTTGTAGAAAGAGAACTAACCCAGCAGAGCTGAGGAGCGGCATCCACAAATTTGGTGAATGGCCTTAGTTCACTTTTCCATGGCCAGAAAGAGAAATACATTTAACATTAAAAGAGAGGTTATTTTAAGAATCTAATAAATATGCAACCACCATGAGCATCCCCTTCCGTGTAATGCATTGGCATGTGATATTTTCAGCGAATGGGCGGCACTGGTCAAAAGGGGCACTTAAACACAACAACTTTTACATGGGCATTCAAAAAAAAGAAAAAATGTCTCTTGGTCTGGCACAACAGTCTCTTGTTTACAGCAATTCTTGGCCATAAACAAAACATGTCGTGACCTCCAAAACCAGCATACATTCCTGACTACCAGAGCTAAACACTTCTCAAGAAAATTGGTGCATGGAATTTGTCTGTAACACCGCTGCCAATTTTATCCTATCAACTGATTTAATGTGGTGCTATTAAAACAGCCAGTCCTCTTTTACACAAGCCGCCTGCAGGCACACAGGCCAGGAAAACATAATGCCCACTCAGGATTACAGAGGAAGGGGGTGCACACATTATTCTGGGGGTTATGCCTCTGGTGACACTGAATTTCATACAGTCATGTGAAAAACTGCAAGAATCTAACTACTTCGAAATGCAGCAAGGAAATCCTGATGAAATGTGTGCAACCCATTAACTCTCAACTCATGAACCTCTGCCTCTCTCACACTGGCTACTTTTGCTAGAGGAGCTGATTAAGAATGTTAGAGAAAGCTGTTTAAATGTATGTGTGGCTTTGAAGTTAGAGAACAAGTTTATGCCTTAAGAGCCATTGAGTTTGGTATTTGACCATTAATTCTACTAGTGGGCATTAACAATAACAATAGACTCAATGAACTCTTTCATTGTAAGTTCTGCAGTGATGCCTAAATTTAGATCATGTTCACTGTGGAATTGAGTGGAGTCAAATTTATGCAGCATGGGTACAGAAAGTAGGCAGTTAATCCTGCCTCGTCACATCACTGTGAATATTCCACCTGCTAGACAAACATGACTGATTTGTAATTAAAACCCACTTTCACTTCCCAACAGTTTCATGGGGAGTTTCTAAGACGTATCAAAATCTTAAGATTATTTGAGCTGTCAGAGACTAAATTTAAATCATAGAAGGTATTCAGATTATACTCTACCACATTCCTTTGTTCATGTTGCAAGGTGTAAACATGCATTTTTTTCAAAGCAGATCCAAATTACAATGTTAGAATATGCCAGTATGCATCAGCTTAAGGGGTCATTCATCTATTTGTCTGTGAAATCAAATTTGTACCCCTGCCTCGAAAGGTTTGTGTTCAATGACAATACTGGCTTTCATAAGATGTTAGCCACAGTAGCAGTGTTTGAACTAAGCCTTTAACTGCCATTTGTAATGTATATATTTTCCCCATAACTCCCAAACAATGTGAAGACCATTTCTATGTAGATGGCAGCTTACTCCATTATATATGTTGTATTTACTTTTTTTATGAGTTTGTACTTATAGTTTGATTTCATTCATATTTTGAAATAAATCAACATTTATGAATTCTGTCTGAAATATTCATTGAAAGCTATCAGGCATTATGAACTGCCAGTATTTTCCATCTTCAATTAATACACAAACATAGCAGGTTGCCTCTATACAGATTAAAGTTTATTAGTACAATCAGAATGGTAGCCACAATAAAAGGTGTATCAATTACCATCCTTTAACAACACTTACATCCCTATGCAAAAGTTTGAACACCCCCTATGAGATTACTATAAGCTTGGAAATTTTGGAAATTTTTGTAGTGCACAATTTCTATTTGCTGAGTTTAACATATTGGAAAAAAAAACATAAAATATAAAATGTACCATAACTTTTGCACAGGCCATATTTTGTGTTTTTTCCCCAATATGTTAAATTAAGCAAACAAAGACTAACCGTGCATTAAAATGTATAGAACGTGTGTACTTATTGTCACTTAGAAAATCAGCAAAACAACTCATTTGACCAGTGGTACCCAAACTTTTGCATATAGCTATTTAACGGGAAAGATCATTACACGTCAAAGAACAAGGTGCTACATATGTGAAGCTGTAATAGTGTGTCAAAAATGAAGAAAACAACATTTTGGTAAGCAAACTGATGTCTGTGAATGGGTCCTTTCACTTTCAGAAGTATTACAGTAGACATACTGCCTACAATGAGTCAACCACTACTTTATCTCAATAAGAAGTTTCCCTTTAATTTAACTCATTTTGTTTTCATGATAATTTGATAAGCTTAAAAGGAAAAATAAGTTTACATCACAGGACAAACAAAAATACGATGCTCAACTCTAAGCCAATGTGTGGGACGTAGTGTAGATAGACTGAGTGATATCAGGTGACAAAAAAGGGAAAGGAGAAAAAAAAGCTTATATAACTCATTTAATCACCTTAGCTTCCGGATACGGGATGTGAGCCAAACTAAATACAATCTACAGCCTCGCTTTTCACACCAATTCATCAGATCCTTATGTGCTGTCATGTTAGCCATACAATCAGTACAGACTTGTAATCCTTCCATCAGAGTAAAGTACTGTGGTTTATGACAATTTACTTAATATGCTAATATGCTAAAAATATTCAAGTGCAATACCTATAATGAATCTTTTTGAACTGCTCTAGTGCTACATTCCATCTTACTTTCATAAAGCTTTGAAGTTCCCAAATGTTAAATGACAGTGTAGTGTGAGCAGGATGTTTTTTACCTGTTTGGGAGATGTTTAATGATGGGTTCCACACAGGAAGCTATGCCTTAAGCACAGTATCAGGTATCAAAATGCTAAAATTCCCCCTCTTCTGTACCGTCACAAAAAATCTAACACAAACTTTGATACAGTTTGTTCTAAATGAAAAGGCCTAAATATGGACAGTTGCATATGACAGTAGAAATCTTTAAAAATAAACTACATGTTACCTGTCCAATCTTTAACAAATAAATTCTCAGTGGTAAAATGAATAGAACTCCCTCAAAACGGTGATAAAATCAGAGTCCAAGAACATGCTGCACGTTTCCGTCTCATTCCTAAACGGTGAGTCATTTGTAATCTTTTGGAGAACTAATATAAATCAACTCTGGGTGAAAGCCAAAGTTTACTCTTGGATCCAATTAAACAGACAGACATTTAACTTATGCACTTTCAATAGCAGTCTGGAATTTGTGCTCTTCATTACACACTCTGGTGAAACACAAGGACAAAAAGCCATAAATTCACATGGATGGCAGAAGTCTCTTGTAAATGTAAGAGAACTCCCACCTTGTACAACCATCTCATTTGCTTATGCAAAGTACCAGCTGTCAAACACTCTGTTGATTTGATGTTAATTATGTAGAAGATAAACTTCAAGTATGATTGCTTCCATTGTATGTGTCTTCATTTTTGATTGCTGTGAGTTTAATTTAATCCGATATTTAATGCATTTAATTTTTAAATGCATTTTATTTATTTTTCTGCATTTATAAGCCTACAGAAATAAATGTTACATTTCTTGCAAGTTAAATATGAGGATTTCACTACAGAGCATATAATGCTTGTGCAATGTAATAGACATGTTGCCAACAGTGGTTAACTGTGCACAGATAATAAATAAATGTTATTCTGCATCAAAAACAATTTCATTATTCACAGAAGAGATAGATGTCATATCTATTATACGTTGTACACTGTTAAATAGCTTTAATACTGTACAATCTGTACAATGCAATCAGCTACATATTTACAATCTTGATACAAGTGAACAAAGTGGTATAAAACAAATAGTGTCTTATTGTGAAAACTACTAAAACCAAATCAAATTGCATGTTTCTTGTGGGTACTCGCATGGCATGATTTAACTGTGCAGGCACTGACTGGTGAATGAATGAATGAATGAATAATGAATGAATTAATTCACTTAAGTTATTTCACTGTAATATATGAACATGTCTTGCAGTCAGTGACGTCAGTCAGTAATGACCAGTAGTATTATCTAAGAAACATGTTCATTAAGAGATCACTGAAGAATGGCAACTTACACAGATTACAAGCCATGCTTTATTTAGACTGCCTTCTGACAGAAAGCCTTGTTCCAAAATAAGCATATTATTTAGTATATTTGTTCATATCTCACAAGTATTCATATTTGGTATGACATATTGGGGAAACCATGAAACATCCCTAATATTAAGTATTTTCTGTATGTATGTCTTTGTTCTAATGCAAAGATTAAAGAATACTTAAAACTGGATGACACAATCAGAGGAACTCTGATGGATGATAGATTGTCCTATTCATTTCAAATCAAAAATCTTTAATCAGGTTCAAATCTGGAAGCGCATATACAATCCATTAACTTTACTTTCAGTTAACTCCTGTTTTGCTTATTGTCTTGCTGTATCTGTGATAATTGCTGTCATGCAACACATGGCCCAGTTAAACATTTTTTGAAGGAACTATTTCTGTATCTGTTATCTGATTTATGAAGCTCAAAAACATTTGATTTGTCTGTTGTTTCCATTTTCCCATGTCCGATGACAGAGTGATTTCACCTGTCTATAACCTCCTTGTTAAAACCCATTGAAATGAAATATCATGAGGGCCACAGGAAAGTACCGGCAAACTGGAAAGTAATCTTTAGTCATATATTACAATAAGTACATGCATTTCCCAACATGTTTAAGCACAGTATTTGGTGCTGTTTATTTAGACACTTCTGTGGCTTATCCACCATCTTCAAGGGTTCCAATAGTTTTAAGCAAATATGTACATTAACGTACATTATATTTTTACAGGTACAGCTACTTTACCTGGTACAGACAATGTAATATTGCTCCAAAGTGTTAATGAAGCATTAAAGGTAAATATATTAAGTAATATTGCAAATGAAAACAATTTACTACAGAGATCTGCCAATAAATATTACAACATGTGTCACAAATGGAGCACTTCACAAAACACTGTCTTCTTTGTAAACACTTTCACAGAGAGAAATGTACTCTGGTGAGGTAATATTTATTTCAATGGAAAATACTAGTTATGCAACTGACATCTGTCTCACTACGTCATTTCAATGTTCAAGCATTTGATCCGAGATCTGAATCAAATCAAATACAAATGTGTAAGAATGTTTTGCTGTTTTGTACAGATTTCAACAGAAAATTAGATCAATATGAGCAAGAGCATGAAAGTGATGCATGCATACAAATGGTTTTAAATGGTCTATTCTATTCATATGAGCTTGTTCTGACACGCTTTGTGTATTGAGCCCTATCGGACTTACATCTAATCTTTCGGAGTACTTGCAAACTCCTCTAATTGCTTCTCTGGAGAGAGAACAAGGCGAGGGCTACTGCACTTTCTCATCACAGCCTCCCTAACTATTAGTGACGTAGCATGCGGTCATTAAGCGTACTCCACATCCCTGCCATATTGTAAGCATGTGCCTAAAAGCCTGGAGGAGATTGTACGACAAAATTAACATCCCCTGGGTATTCGTGCCACATTCACAAGTGTTCCTGTATCTGATGACCTTGTACGATACAGCAAGTTCACATGTTTTCCTTGAAATGGCTGTAATGATTTCAAAATGGCTAGTCCTGAGACTTTCACTGATTACCTGAAGTTGAAAGGACCATTTAATGCCCCTAATTGCGCTTCTACACACATATACTGGACACAGCCTTGAGAAACATAAATCAGTTTAGAAGAGAATTTGGCCAAATGTCTCAAAGACCTTTACGGAAACTGAAACATGGTAAACTGCTCTAGATGAGAGTTAAAGCTCATGCTGAGAGGCCTTCAGAATATGAGCCACCATTGAAAACACCTCCCTATGGCTACTTTATCTTTCATGTGTTAATATAAGAAGGAGGTTATTAGACTTAATGTCATGTGTCCCTATAGAGGAGATAAGCGCCCTAGGATTACTCACGTATAGACTCACCGAGTGCACGCACAGAGGGCAGCGTGGGGTCCAGCCCCCAGACAAAGCATTTCAAAGCCAGACTCTTTCACTGTGATTCAGCCTCAAATGGTGCACACACAAGCAGGCTTTTCAATTCCGCAGCATGTCAGATCTCTAACTCAGATAGCTGGGGTTCGTTTTGATTAAAGATACGAAGGGGGTGGTGATGTATGGGGAACTGTTTCTACAAGGCCCACAGAGGTCTGACAGCTGGTCTGTTTCTGCATCCTTCACATAGCGGCAGCTGACTGATGAGGCTAAAAAAAAAGTCTATCCATAATTGCTCTCGTCAAAATTTAATATCTGAACTCTGAAAATGCTAGATGACCTTTACTGTGGTCCCATTTCATAATGACTAGACCTATAAAAATGGTCCAAAATGACCAAAACAAGACGGAAGTCTTGTTATAATAATGGACATCAGTTATCATTATGAAAATATGAGGTTTTTGCCATGACAGCAATGAAATTAATTATGCACATAACAATGGATGTGTTAAAAATGAAGGGGCCAAAAACAAGGTTCTTTGGAACAATTACTTTTGAATGGGTCTTTCAAGAGACATTTTTGCA